ATGTCGAACTTGTTGATACTTCCTCTCAACGCAAACGAGATACAAACGTTGTAATTAATAATTGGAGACAATCTCCGACTAAGGATATATTCTAGCGAGTACTACGTATTTGCCACGATGTTGCATAATCCATTGCGAAAATCCTCAAACGAATAAATTAAATGACAACATAAGATGGACTGACATATTAACGTAACGTAATAAACAAGGACCCGTATTCTTGTCTCCATTTTTTTAGAATGATAAAAATAGTGAGTCGTTACGCTTTATATATTATACACTTCGAATATATGAATATACGAGTAACATTACGTACAGAAGCAAATACAAAAACGCAGGCATCTTGTCGTTAAATTGTAAGATATTGTGTTCAAACTCCAGAATGTAATCTGACCCCTTCCTCAGACTACTATATATTAATTATATTGTGCACTATGCTCCAACTTGTCCATACGAATAAATATATTGAAAAATCTTACTATTATACAATATCCTCGATCGGTACACTATCGTCCTTTAACGAGTTCGCGTCTTTTCAAAGTTCCCTCGTGTTATCGACTTAACCGACTTTTCGTACAATTTTCTTTCCTCCTTCTTTCGTTCTATCCTGTCAGTATTCGTATATGAATCATTGCGGTATATCTTTCTGCCAAATGGTATTTTTACAATTTTATCTATTTACGTTTACTCGCACATTGTCAAACAAAATTGTAATATAACGTTTAACATTACTTGAGGACCTCTGTGTGAACTAGCGGTAAAAGCGAATACGTTCATGGGTTTATGACACTTTAGTTTCGTATTATCATCCTTCATGTAACACAGAAGTAATCGTTACTTTTTCCATTTCTCTCGATAAACCTATACATATACTATATTCTTCGTACAAATACGTTACTCTTATTTTCATAATTTTTACGATGAACGATGAACAGTGTATATTAACAGTGTACCGTTACAGATCTCAATATATTTTTAACGATGCACGCACAAGGTTATGTTTTATAACCTAAATATTTCGCTTCGTACACTCACGGCCCAAGTTTTATTTCATCAACGCATTACCGTGATAGAGAGTACCGGAACAGTGACTGAATTGAATGACAATTAATATATAGGACAATTATTGGAATATTACGTCTGCATGATGGATGAAATAGAATATAAATTAGAATCGACGAATCCTGTATTAATATCGCACGTGAGTTACTCCCTTTTTCATGTATCGCAATTAAACGTTTATATTTTTCACCTGGTATTCTATTCCAACTGTATTATGTATTTTTCTACACAGGCAACGTCGAAACTCTTCGAATCCATTAAGAAAAAGAAATGCGATCGACAAACGGACCATATTTCCAAGGTAAAACACGTATTCGTTCAATTACTATATGATCCAATATATCGTTTTTACTTTTGCTTTAATCAGAGAAGAAATATTAATCTAATTCTGTTCATTCCGTTCATCAATTTATACAGATACCCGAGTTTAAGTTGTTATTAACAAAACGTGATAGTACAAATGTCACACTCAGCATATCCGCCTGTCAAGCCCTAACTGCTTTGGTTGAAAATGGATTATGGGACATTAACGAGGCTTTAGCTACTTTCATCTCGAGTATCTCTTTTATAAAGTACAGAAATTCATTTAATCCATGAAAGATATTCTTTATGTATCTTTACTGTTCCTTAATATCGTTCTATAATATGTCACACATTTTAGAAATTATATGGTTGCTACTACAACCATAAGCCATTTACTAATATTAGATTTAAAACGCGATACAGGACAAGAAAATATATATCCGTTTACATTACATACGCCACAACACCCTTTTATAACCATTTTAACTCAAGATAAACGTAGCTGGCAAACTATATTAAGTCAGATGACATTTATTCTGAATCATCAGGATGCTCGGTATGTATAAAAATGTATATACAAATATTATATATACATACATCATATACATCTATAATTATGCATGCTCTTATATCTATATATGCACGTATGTATGTACAATTTCTCCAAATTTCAGAATTAGAGAAAAGGGCGTGAAAATGTTACGACCGGTATTTTTGTATGTTTTATGCAATCCTTCGTCAGATTCGATGGATTACTGTATGCAACAAATTTGGCAATTGTTAATTAAATCGAGGCACGGTACTTATGTGCAGACAGAAGTTTTACTTTGGATGTGCACAGCGGAAATTCATTCTTGTATAAATACAAACTATAGAATCTTAGAGCTTGCAGAAAAAGCTGCATCAGAAGGAAACAGAGAATATTGTACAGCTTTGTTGCCGATGATTGTGTCCTTAGTTATACAATTACTACAACAAGGTTCTGATCCAACACCAAATTTTCATGCTATATTGTTTATCATAGACCACTGTGATAGCTATATTGGGAATCTTGTGCTAACATTAATGGCAGAAGTAATTACTTTATGTCCAGCTATTTATTTGTATACTACTTTACAAATATGTAAGTATTTTCCGGTATTTTCCACTATTTATAAGAATTTTCGACTTTTACCGATTTTTCGAAATATGCTTGTTATGATAAATTTATCACATTATAGGTACGATGATAGCAAAGAAAATGTCTTACAATGATGTATTTTTCTACACTTTGATAGCATCTATTGTAAAATGGATTGCATATCCATCCGTATTGTGTTCTGAGGCACTGGACATGGCGAGAGATTTAGCCAGCGAGATGTTTACAAGAACGAAATTAACGTGCAACAATGAAACGATATTCTCAAATAAACTTTTTACAGTGTTTACTCATTCCGACCCATACATTCAATTCTACACGGAGCTAGTGCATTGCTTGAGTATCTGGAGCCAAAATGATATTCTATCATGGTTGAACAACATATCATGCGTACCAACTTACTTAAAAGACAAATGTAAACTATTGATATCCGGTCTCCTTCTACAGTCAAACGAGCCACAAATAGTTCAACTGTGTTGTAATATACTCGTTGATGTTAGCAGAGAAAGGACAAATTTTGGATCGCACGTGCTCTCATTGGTATTGCATAAATTAACCAAATGTAAAAGCAGTATAGAATCAAAATGTTTGTTACTGGTAATGCCTGAGCTTATGATTACGAAAGAAAATGTCCCAATCGTTAATCATACCTTGAACGGATTGTTAAACGGTGACAAGCAACTGAAATATTTTATAATCGAATTATATTTGAAAGCATTGAAAAAAGAACCGAGATGTTACAGATTTCTTTTTGCTGCAATAATCAAAGTAATGGAAAGCGATCTTTCCTGGTATTCGGATGCAACTTGTGCAAGAGCTATGAAACATATTTGTGAAAATTATCCTGAACATGGGGAAAAATTGGTACCATTGATATTGCAGATATTAAATCGTTCGACGGATATGAACGGCGGAACCGCAAGTGCGCTCGCGCTTGGATGTATTTCTGCTCTTTACAAAGCATCCGTAATAGACATTTGTTCGACATGGAGAGTGCTATCTCCAAAAATGGAAAAAGAGAAGCGGTCTGTTGTTTTAGAAAGCTTGTGCGAATTACTTGCTGATGTTGCATTCTATGCACCTTCTTCTCAATGCCTTGAAGAACACGACTATCAATTGATCGACGATATCGTATCGAAGTTGTGGAAATACACGACATGTAGTGATGTAAAGGTAATCAAAGCTGCGCTTAAAGCTCTAGCTTCGTACCGTCTCGAACAATTATCCTTGAAAACATTACCAGTAGAATTTAGATATAATCTCGTACTACCAGCTACGTATGCGAAAATTCCAACCGACACGGTAAAAAAGCCAGAGGACGTGCTTCCGTATATACCTGGTGTTTGTTGGATCCAAATGCTTCAAAATATAAATAAAATGACCTTGTCAGCAGCCGGGAACCTTTTAATTTCCTTCGTGATAGAAGAAGTAAATAGTTTCCGATCCGGCATGTACGACTGGCCTCAAGGGGAGCCGCAAAATTTTAAATATTTACCAGACAAAAGCGTAATCAGAGCGGTCGGTGAATATTTGCGGAAAACTAATAAGTTTGATTCGAATAATCATTGTATCGTTACGGAATGTCTACGAATATTCGCTCATAAATATCCGAAACCATTACCCAATGTAAATTGGAGTTTTTTGAAGGATACTTTTCACCTATCAGCCGAAGCAAAGCAATATACTCTTTCTATCGCGTGTCATCATGCGACGGTATCTTCATCTGCTAAATCTTTTATAGAAGATTATCTATTGACGTATAAATCTGTAAACGATGCAGAAGATTTCATTTGGAAAGACAATGAACACCCGATATTGTATTCAAATCTCGAGTACTTGTGTCAAGCTGTACAACCAAATATCATTAAACGGTTCTTAGAAACTACTTTAGAATGTGCAATTAAAAAAATGAACGAAAATTCGATACAATCGTTTCATTGCATCATGTATTCATATGCTCAGGCATTAAGAAATCCAGAAATATGCCATGCTAACTCTACACTGCTTTCTACCATACTGGAAGAACTTTTGGACAAAATAGATTTAACGTGCGACCGTTTCTACCCTTATTTCACGGCAGCTTTGCAATTACCAATGGAGCATTTAGAAAGAACTACATCTCCTAAAGTGTGGTGGGAAACAATGGCCAGTAAATTAAAGAATGCGATCGCAATTAGAGCCGAATTGTCTTTAAAAAAGTCTAATTCCGAAGCCTCCTTAAAGTGGTTGAACGAGATCATTGGTGAAACTTTCGCTTCTACGTCAAGGTAACATTCTTGGTCATTATTGTAATTTTATTGATACATCAAACATATGAATAAACACGCGTCTTAATATTTTTTATTAAAGTGTGCAAACATATTTTCTCGAAATTATACAAAAAGTACAAGCCAATATGCAATACGAAAGATCCAGTTCAAATTGGATTCTGGAACTTATGACACAGGTTCAAGGATTTTTAATGGACTCATCACAAAATCATAATGACAAAATACAATTCTATTGTACTGTTTTATTTACCTCTGTGATAAGCTTGTCTGGCATAGACTCCATGTTAATGAAACGAGATCTAGTGATTAAATCGCAAAATGTCAGAATAAAATTATTTCCTCAAGCTCTAACACTTCTTTCCGATAGAGAGAATTGGAAACATGCAATTCCACAGGTACTCACGATTACTTTTATTTCTATACAAAACCATCCAACTAGCGTCCGGATGATAATTTAACAATTTAATATTTTTTTTCTTTATTAAAAGTTATATAGTTATTCTAGAATTAACAGTCTATTAAAGATATTATATACCTCTTTCAGATGATGGAATGGTTAAATTATATGAGAACAAATCATATTTCTGATACATATAAATACACGTTTCATCGGGCATTAATTTCTTTAAGACATAATTCATATTATAAAAATGTATGGAGTAAATATTTATCGATTAAGACGGACATCGATATTTAACCGCAAGTTGGAACAAAAAACGTATCCGTTACTGCAAATTTAAGGTATGAAATTAAAAGGAGCAACATATTTGTGAAATACCATTAAAACAAAAGTTGAAAATGTATTTCACTTACTTGCAATCCCATATGATGTAGAGACTGACAATTCTGAACAAACATATCGTCACATGTGTTGTATGTGACGACTTTCATAATGCTAAACAGATGTTTCGCTATTATCCAACATCATCACGGTTAATGTATTCGGACGTGATCCAGTCAATGTTTGATCTTCCAGTAGTTTCATCTTGGGTTCTAATATATTCCGTTTCGTTTCAATGTTTTTTTTTATAGGTGTGCGACTTGGACTAGATTTCCTACTGCTTGGATATGATTTTAATAAACGAGCCCTAAGGGAACATTTAAGGACACCATGGTTTTATCTCATTATCTTATAGTACAACTTACTACAAACTTTAAATTTACACTCCATAATTTAAAAGAATCATACTTACGCGTCCATTAATTTAAGGAATAAACGGGTATATACTTGATATTCCTCATCACCAAATTCAGTTGGATCATGTCGTGCATGTTCATATAAGTCGCAGAACTGATGAATTAATCGTTGTCCACTTCCATTTAATGGTGTTGCCAATATGGCAAGTAAATATGCCCGTAAATTTTCAGATGGATGTCTTTTTAAGCAATTATCATATTTAGTAATTTCAGCTTCTACAAAAAAAGATTGAAAATTAGTTTGAACGTAAAGAATCTGTTTACCATAATAAATATAATTATACCCAAGGTCTTAACATCATCTACAGCTTTTAATCTGTAGTAATGAGGTGAAACCTGTCCTCGAGGAGTTAAAATAAATCTTGGATCGCTAATAAGTTGCGGCTCGTATTGAATTCTTGGTATTACTTCTATTCGTCTTTCAATCTCCTTTTTCAGTGACTAAAAGATTGAAAATGTACTGTGTTTTGATATGTATATATGTATATGTGCATATAGATACATGTATTCAAAATAGTAAATAATTGTATAGCATAATTAAAATGTTTTGTTTTTAACAAAAAAACAAGCATTAATTTTCAATGTAAATGTAATAGATGTACATATTTGTAGATGTAAATAAACTTAACCTCTACAATTTCTCGTACCTTTCGTGCATCGTGCCCGATAGGGATATGAGGACCACGGCGTGATCGTAATGCAAATCTCATAATTTGTCGTTTTGCAAATATAAACAGTAATAATATTGTTAGTACTCCAGCCGCAATAAAAATAACGATTGTCACACCGGAAAGTTCTTCCGTCATGTTTTTCCCATTCGAACTTGTATAAAAGTGTTAACTCTTATGCGCACGCGTTTTATATTTTGATTTTACATCTCCTATACCTCTAATTTTTAGATTGGGGAACAAATATATAGTTATAGAAAAAATAAAATTTATTATAATTTGTGGTTTGTAGTATTTACATAAGTTACATAGATTTTAGTACATTTTGAATAGGTTTTTTAAACAATGTTTGATTAATATTTGCTATTTCCCATAATGATTGTTTTTGTTCATCTGAAAATTTAATATTTGACTTTATAAATGATAATACAAGCTTCCCGAAATTTTTATCCTTGGCAAAATCAATCGATTTCTCAAATAATAACTGTATAAGTTTGTCATTTGTGGTAATATCTGTCTTAGTATCAATCAAAGTACGTAGGAAAGAAAGATGCCATGAATTGAGTTCTTTCACATATGATAAATATTCTCTGTAAAAATGATACCGCTCAATTGCTAACACTTTAGTTTCTTTTGAAGTTTAATTGATTAATAATAAGATTAGTACCTACGTAATAAGAACGATACGTCTTTGAGGTTCAAAAGTATTTACTATAGCATCAATAATTGTTGTGTCTGTTAAATCAAAGTTTAAAAGTGGAATAAAAATGAACTTCTGAATATCATCTGGAAATTTCTGAGTGCTCTCTATCAAAGCAGATAAAAGTAATCTGGAAGGTTCTTTCAAAGCAATAATCTGCAATAATATTCAAACATTATTAGCCATGTTTGTGTAAAAATTAATACAAGCAGTCTAATTCTTTATAGATTAATATCATTCAAACTTCACCTTTGGTAATAATAAATGGGTATAAAAAGTTTCTGTGTATTTAACTCGTTGTTCCAAAGTCATATTATTTAAGGAACAACATAAATTATATGTACCCAGCATAGTTAGTCTTTTTTCTAAATCACAGACTATTTCTTGAAATTCTGCATCTGTTAAATTCTCTAATTGATTTAAATCCAATTTTCCATTAGGACATTCCAATTCTTCAAAAAGATATTCTGTGATATCAAGTTTTGGTACACACTCCTGTCTAATATTTTTATCGCAGAGCTTATCAAGTTGTGTAAAATAAAACTGAGTAGATGAAAATTGATCGGACGTGTTGGATAAAATATCATTACAATCATTATTGCTTTCGTTTAAAGTTTCTTCTACATCTATATCTGTTACTCCTTTCTAAGTGAGATAATGCAAACTTCAATATTATTTTCCTTAAATATAATTTTGTTTCCTAATACAACTATTAATACTAACCTTCCTAGTTATTATTTGCCAAAAAGGATCAGCTTGAATTATATCTTGTTTTAATTTTTCTTTAATTACTATTAACTTTTCCGTGGTATATTGGGATAATACATAATTTTTTAAAATATTTTCCGGATTCATATTTTTAATAATAAGTCAATTTACAAAGAGATACTTTTATTGTATTGTATTTATTGTATTATGTACTAAAGAAAATATAAGAAAATTTTAATTAAACAAAATAAATTATAATTGGAGAGAAAAGAAAAATTTGATTGCGAGTGAAAATATATTAAATCTCGTACATAATAAAATTATACATTTACGTCATATCCTAACGATACGTTTGTGTCAAGTAGTGTCAAGTAAACCATACCACCTGTTGAGTAGCTTCATGACAGTCAAGAGGTTAACAACGAAATAACAGTGTGCGCGCTAATAAATTTTATTTAGAAGTGATATTATCATGTATACAAATGAAAGCATATAACTTTTTGTGAAATAAAGAAAGGATATTCAGGTTGAAAAACGCACAGGAATCGAGATACTGTAAGTCTTGCAGGACTAAATTAATTTAAATATTTTAAACAAGGAAATTATCTGAAATGTAGATCCTATACGCATGTAAATATTTTGTTTCAAAATATTTTACATCATTCAATTGTATTGCAATTAGCAAAAAGAGAATGCTGCTTTCAATATGAAACATGATTTTTTAAAACTTTCGCACTTTTATTGCTTTTGGATATTGATAAGTAATGGACATTATTTGAAATGTTACACTTTTATTACGGACAATGTGTTTCTGAAATGATTCATACTGCATTTATATCAAGTTTCATGAGAATGAAATAGCATAGATTAAGCAATTAAAACAATGTTACAAACGATGAGAGGAAATCTTTGTCTATTTCAAATTCAGTTATTCCAATGTGTTGATAACTATTACTCGCGATAACACCATTGCGACGAACTTTCACTTCTGGAAAACCCAGATTATCTTAAGGTCATTAAGAATTTATATTCATATTTATATTTATATTCATATCATTAATATTTCTAATTAATGTTTTTTGTTTGTAACTATTTTTATAAATTTTGGTGTCCTAGATATCGTCGGTTCAGAACATAATGCATGAATAATAAGGAAATAAAAATTTTATTAAAAATAACGATTTTTCTGGGAAGATTTCCTTAACTTAATATCCAAAAGGAAAGGTAAGGATACGAATGAAGAATATGCAAAGAAAATATTGTTAAATATCTGATATTTTAATTAAAATAAGGTAAATAATTCCTTTCATCGAATTGATCTTCATATCGGTATAATATAAAGAATTGAAATATATGCAATTATAAAAGTTGTATAATTATGTAATAAAGAAATTAACAAATGGATATATGTAATTTGTTACGTCCTTGTTTTTCTTTTTTCGAGTTGGCTTTATATTTATAAAATATATTTATTTCGTAGATTACATTATCAGAAAATGTAGTATTTATCAATCATGATGGTAGTGAAAATATAAAATTTATATTATGATACTTCTATCATAAAAAAAAAGATAGCGAAGAGGTACTTCTTTTGAACGGCATTTGAATTTCGAGGAAAATGCCAATACTTTCAAATTTATCTCATCGTTTTCATATGTTAACAACCGATGCGAAACCTGATCCACCACGAATACCGATCGAAGGATATACTCACAATTTAGAACCAAATACAGTAAACGGTGATGAAACGAAGACGACCAAATTCGAATCTGTTCCAATTACTACAGAACCGCAATTGAAATTAAAGAACGTAACGTCCCCCGAAAAAGACGACGCAGTACCTATTACGAGCGCCAAGTCTTCTACCGAAAAACAAGATCTGAATGATACGAAAGGTTCCCAAGATGATGCAAAAGAACGTAGAAAACCGAATATTAAAACGAAAACAAAATCGAAACAACGCAAACATTGTAAGTATTATTCACTCTTTAAACTTGAAAAAAATCAAATTTGTTAAATTTGTATCAAAGCGATCATGTTTTACTTTACAGCACAAGGAACACATGTAGTGAATTACAACATAATTAATTCAAACGGTGTAAAAATTGGCTCTAAAACTAGTTACATTTGTAATATTAATCAATATGCTAAGAATAATTCTGATGCACCAGAAGAAACATGGACAAAAAATATTCGACAAATGCCAGCAGAAGTAGAACGTTTACGTACTTGTACTGACGAAATTAATTTAGATGATATATTTATAATTAAAACTTATATTGGACATGGTTGGAAAGACGTTGCTAGAAAATTGTTATATTCGGACGGTCAAATTGAACAATTCGAAGAAAATTACAAATTTAGGGGCATAAGTGAAGTAAATTTGATTCCAATATACTATTTCTCGTTTATATTCTTATCTGTATCACTGCAAGTTTTTGTACTAATGACCATATTTCTAGGTAATTTATCAAATATTTCTGGATTGGAAACAAGCTAATACAAAAAATGCAGATATTGGTAATTTGATAAACATCTTATGGATTTGTAAAGAATACGATTGTGCAATACGCTTAGCTTCTGCTCGCAGCGAGTCGACATAACGCTTTTTAACTTTATCTTTGTAACAATAAATCTTTGAACAATTTATCTTTTAATCGAATATATTCCACAAGTAATTATCATATTTATTAGTCAGAAACGAAAATTATTTTTAATTGTATCCAACTTATATTAATTATAATAACTAGAGTAAAAAGTTAACTGCTGTTTCTATCTGTAATGTATATTGTATTAAAGAGTCGTTTTAATAAATAAATTCTATAATAAATATAATATAATATTTATTGTAATACAATCCTATAATATAATCTTCTAATCTTACAATAACATTAATCTTAATTATGCATGTAGTTATCGTCGAACAAGATACAATTAATGCAGATATCAATATAAGGCAGCATAAGTGGGCGTTCCACGGGCAAGGAAAACTAAGGGCAAAGTCGCGAATAGTACCATGAGTCGCGACAGACATGGTTATGTAGATATATATTTTTCAGGTACAAATATCTTATTCTTAGGATATCCATTTGCCCACGAAAGCGTGGCTTATCATCCGCCGATTGCTGCTTTGCTTAAGATAACTGCAGTTTTACATTAACAACTATGTATAACCTTTCACTGCTTAGTGTTCAGAAATCCATCTTTTTCTTAAATGCAATTATTTAATATACATATATATATTAAATGTACAATTATATCATATTATATAATCATTATAAAACGATTGACATTATAAAACCACTTTCCCTTTCTCTCTCACTTTTTGTACATACAGGTATACTTAAAATGATTATATTATATTTCTAGTATATATACAAATAGAAAATATGTGCGATTAATGTACAATTAATATATATAAGCAATGCAAATAAGTAATATAAATAAGAAACACAAAAAATATTTTCAAGTAATACATACATACATTTGTAACATATTTGTCTTTCTTTCCTAATTCTTTTTTTCCCCTTTTTTACCAAAAATTAAGTCTTTGCAATTTTCAAATTGTGTGACCATTTCTGGTAAACTTTTATTTCCATCTATTATTAGAACTGGTGCTGGTACGCTAAATAGTGTCTGATGATAGAGCCACTCATCATGAATATTATGAACTTGCTGTAAATATTCTAATGATACACAATTTTCTTCTTTCCTCGCTCTTGTTTTCATTCTCTGATATACAACATCCGGCGATGTCCTCAAATAAACTGCATTAATATAAAGATAATAACTAATATTATTATCAATGAGAAACATATAATTTATATTATGCATTTATGATAACATACTTATTAAATCCGTTACTATATTAACATTCTGTATACACCAGTCATACCAATCTTCTAAGACTATTATTTCCACCTCTTGTAATAGTTTAGAACGTTTCATAGTTTCTATAAAGCACCTGGAGCTAAATACTGATCTTTCCATAATTTTATAAGGCATTGCAGATTCGTAAGTATGAAGTTGCAGCATTGTTAATTGTACATAGGATTGGAATAAGAAACTATAGCGCCTAGGATTTGTGTACATTAATTCCTAAATATTTTAAGCGAATATTTATCAATGTTACATATATTTTTACATGAATAGCAATAAATCTATATTCAAATAATCTTACCAATAAATTTGTTCCAGCAACATTTCGCCAAAGTTCTACTGGTTCTTGTAAAATGGTTGTATTGGTAAATTGTTTAAAATGACTTAAGAATGTTGTCTTACCACTTCCTATATTGCCCTCTATGCATACTGTAAATGGTCTCTTGTACAATTTGCAAACAGAAGTAGTCATTTTTATTAGTAGAAACACAGATTTGCCTTAAAAAAATACAAAAATACGTTATCTTGCAGTAATGATCTTGTAGTAATGAATTGTTCTATTTTTATATGAAATATATCAAATACTAATTACTAAAAATATCGTATTTATATTTAATATGATTACACGCTACTGCTATGCCGCAGTTACAGTGAAACATTGTTTGATAAAATTCCCGCGCAAATTTTCTGTTCAGCTCCCTTACTGGTAAGTTCTTTTAAAGAGGGATTACACGTAGATAGAAATAGTAGCTCTATAATTTGTCATTCTTCAAATTATCTTTGGTTGTCTTTTATTAAATTTAATACTTACCTAATGAAGTCATGATTGAGTAATTTTTTTAAACAATTTACGTTATTATATTATAGAAGAATAAAGGTTTTATTTATATTTTTAATCCTCGAGTATTTTATATTTTCATTTACCGTATAACCATTGTGTAGTTGTATGAAAGATTGGTATATCGATAATTCAAACTTTACTATTACGTGCACTATAATGGGTTAAATGCTATATTGCGCAAGTTAAAATATTATTTCATTACATACGCGGATATGCAGATGTATTATTTTTATTACAAAAAAGAATGTATCTGAAACAGTGAAAGCTTTGTATTGAATTGAAATATTTATTATAAGCTAGGAGAAATAAATATACTTTATTATTGATATGTGTACAAAATAAAATAAGATTCGGAATTTTGCATTTATAAGTTAATAAGAGGCATGTATTAAATGATCAAAGTTGTTGGATAAAAAAGTGGAACAATCGTATGTATTTATAAAGCATATATACATCGATGGCCATGATATATGTATATATATGTACATATGTATACATATAGTTTTTCTGTCAACAGATATGAGTTTGTTGTATCAGTTGGTTGTTAGGAAAATGCAAGTGACTTACATTTTAAATGATGATTTAACGAAATATTTTTAGATACCTTTCAATTATTAGTCAGAATATTATATTGTATTTTTTATTACGGATTTTTGATGAATTCTATATCTTGTTTCTAAATAATTAATTTCTTAAAATGATTTAAATAACATTGTGTATTAAACGTTCGCGCAACATGTAGTACATGTAGGGCAATCATAAAATATTTGATGTTGAAAAACAAAATTATGAAACAATCAGTTAATTCATAATCATTTATTTTTACTGAAATTCCATTATAATTGGAACAATGCGAAATTTTTTGGGCGATGCTATAATATGGTAAGTTTTAAATACGAAATTGTTGAAATAATGAGACTGCCATGCATTAACATTATGATTCCCTTTTTATTTCTTTTCTTCTTTCTTTTCCTCTCTCTTCTAAAAAATATGGTACAAATAAATAAAATCTTTGGATGATATTTTTCACTTATTAATATAATTTTTTCTGTAGCATATTGCTACTACTTTCAGTAAGCCTTATATTTGGAGCTAGTGAAATTATTAAATCTTTTGTGAATACCGGAGAAAATTTTTTAAAAACTTCCTCCTATAATTGGATTATTAAATTATGCTTAAATTTATTGAGTTATGCTACTGTATTATTGCCAGGTTGCCTCATATACAAATATGTTCGTCATACCAAATATATCCAAAGGGGAGGTAAGTGATAGGATATATTAATTAAATGAAAAGAATTTATGAACTTTTATTTAAAATTGTGATGCTTTTAAACAGGCAAGGGGTGCATACCCAAACTAGTACATTTATGTTTTGTGGGTCATTATGAAACAGGACTACTGGATTCATCTTCTTATACATCTACGCCATCGAATCATAGCCAACGTACTTTTACACAAGATGCTTTGTTACTCCTATATTGTTTTTTTGGGTTGCAAATTAGTTATTTAACATGGGGTTACTTACAAGAAAAAATAATGACGCAGGTATAATCTGTTTAATAAAAACACACACACACACATCGTAAAATAACAACATTAACAATTTTCAAGTACATGTTAATATGGGATAATGCTCATTATGTACTAAAAACATTCTTAACTTATAGTTTGATCATTGCTAGTCACTACTTCTAGGATATCCAAAGTTTCTGTAAAGCAAAGATTTTTGAATTTGCAACTCTATTTTCTTGAACATAGACTTTTAATACTGTTTCGAGATGATGTTTAAAATGTAGGTTGCAAAATTCATAATATTTTATAAGTATGAATAGTCTAGTTTAATATTATACAAACATTAGAAATTTTTTATGAAAACATTTAATTTTTCAGGAATATGAAGACGTTGCTGGCAACAAGGATCATTTCCAAGATTCACAATTTCTAGTATTTGTAAATCGAATTCTTGCATTCTTAATGTCAGGGTTGTATTTAATAATTCAAAGACAACCACAACACAAAGCACCTCTTTATAAGTATGCATTTAGCTCCTTATCAAATATCATGAGCAGTTGGTGTCAATATGAAGCTCTAAAGTATGTTAGTTTCCCAACACAGGTATTCATCCGTTTAACATTTTGTTTTTTATTTCTTGATTCCAGAATTTTGTTTGGTAATTACGTTTAATTAAATATGGTATATATATTTCAGGTATTGGCAAAAGCTTCGAAAATAATCCCAGTAATGATAATGGGAAAAGTAGTTTCACATACCACATATGAATATTACGAATATGTTACAGCTGTACTCATTTCTATTGGAATGACATTGTTCATGTTAAATAGCTCAGATTACAAAGGCGGTGAGCGCTTTTTGTCATTTACTGTAAATCTACTAATCTTTTTTTTCTCTAATTATTGTTTCAATGCTTTTAGATGGAGCTACAACTATATCTGGTATTATTCTCTTAGGAGGCTATTTATTATTAGATAGTTTTACAAGTACCTGGCAAAGTGCATTATTTAATGAGTATGGGGTAACGAGTGTGCAAATGATGTGTGTAGTTAATATGTTCTCCTGTTTATTAACTGCAATGTCCTTATTTCAACAATCAAGTTTCCCTCTTATATTTTCCTTTATGACAAAGGTAATTTTAATTAATTAAGGTAATGATAGCAACAATCTCTGATATAACTTTAATATTCTTATTATTGCACAGTATCCTAGGTTCATTGTGGATTGCTCACTTATATCAATTTGTTCAGCAAGTGGTCAATTGTATATCTTTTATACAATTTCTAAATTTGGTCCAGTAACGTTTGTCATTATGATGACTATAAGACAGGTAATTATTTTGTTAAATATATTACAATTAATAAAATAAACAAGCTTAAGAGGTATCGTTTTCTTCCTTTTTCAGGGTTTGGCTATATTATTATCTTGTTTGGTATATCATCATCGTGTGACAGTCATTGGTATCATTGGCATTCTACTAGTATTTGGTTCGGTATTCTTACGAATGTATTGTAGCAATCGATTACGTGCAATAAGAAGACGTAGGGCTGCGCAAATAGTATAAAAGTTAATTGTGGAAACAAAAAGGCATAGGTACAAATTTCATTAAATTTTGTACATTTCTTATTTAGATGTACATAAATTTTGTTAGATATAGTTAGAAAAAAGTGATCAATTCATATTGATTATACTATTCTGATAGTTTTCATATATATTTTACAAGCACTGGAGAAAACAATCAGTTATTTTTAAACATCCAGTTTTTAAATCTGTTATTTGATAATGTACTAATGTACTTTTAAGTAAAGTACTTTTAAATACAAATACATACATATATATATATATATATACGTATATACATATTAAAAATAATCAGACAGAAAAATGCATTATTTATTTAAGAAATATTTATTTTATTATAGACGAAAAATGTCATTTTTACAAGAAAAGTATTAATAAACAACATATCAATTGTACGATTTATTGTCTACAAAGTTCATTTATATATAGGAATTTGTAGGATATTTTATTGAAGATTAAAAACATACTCGTTCATAGATTAGATCATTTTTAATTTTTATTAATGTCCAGAAACATACAATATGATGCAATCAATTAAAACTCTTAAGTACTAATGAGGTTGTTTATTCGTCTGGGGACGAAGGTTTGTAAATAGCAACGAGACACAAGATAGAAATGATTAACTCAGATGCTAGAAGTACCAATTGTATGCTACAAAGAATCACTTCTAGTCTGAGCACATAATTTTGCCAAATTAGAAAGTATAATGTTGCCAAGGAGCTGGGTACAGTTAAAATAACTCCGATGAGAATTGGTAATCCATGTTCTGTCAAATTCCCTTTCCTTCCAAAATAAATTCTGGCTCCTTCTGTGATTATAAGTAAGGACAAAAGCGCAAACTCCGCCAATGTTGTATTTGTGCCAGGTGAGGGTAGATTCGCAGCTTTAAAAAAGCCCATACCCAGTTCACATATAGCAAACATACCAAAATAAAAAGAGTTTAGGTACATAAGAATTTCGTACGTTAAAGATGAACTGGCTATTGTAGGCATTCTACAATGACTCTTTAACACTATTAGAAACCTTATGCTTATTAAGTTCTATCTAATATTAACTCATTCTGTTTTAATGTACCCAATTATGAAAAATATTGTTCCGTATCCATTATAATTCACACCTTCTCGATGAAGTATATACAATGCTTTTTCCGTTCATTTATTGAATTTCATTTATATTTCATTTCATTTATTCTTAGTTTTCTATGCTACAATGACGATGTCATTCTTGAGTGTTACGCACGCAAATGGAGGTTATTTTTGAATATGTCACAACATGCGTGCATATATGAATATTCAGATCTAGAATAATGTTTGTAGATTATTCTAGCGAATTGTTGATAGGTGTTCTTAGTTAACTATTGATCATAAATACATAAAGCGAAGATCATAAAGATCAAGTTTGGTTAAGAAGGTGTAAATACAACCGAATTTCTTAGAAGTAAAGTAGTGTAGTAATCATTTCCATTGTTTTCTTTGAAGCTTTTATCTTTCGTTACGTTTCCTTGATTATACATTTAGTATTTCAGTTAAGAAAGCTTATACATCAAAGAAAAGTTTAGCAGACACCCACTTTCACGAAAGGAATAACAACCGACTCGTGATTCACATTTCATGAATATACCGAGCAGTGCTACCAAATGAGGAAACAAGAAATGTACGTAATTTGATTACAAAATTTGAATAACATATGCATGTACTCTAACATGCATGTATAGATTTCGGAGGTATATTAACATGACTTCAGTATGTAATATTGAATGTTAATATGTATTTTAACCTTTACAAATAGAAGTTGTTATATCTAAAACGATATCTTTATCGAAATATATAATTTGAACGAACCCATAAAGACTATGGAAGAATGGATTAATTCGAAAAATGAAAAGTTTATAGAAGTAATCGATGGGTAATCTATCATGACAGAGCCACCATCCGAGTGCGGTGAATGATCTGCGATGGCTTTCTATTCGAACTTTTCAAGAGCATTTCGTTTCAACAAATTCCTTCAAAATCTTGGAGAAAAGTGGCAAAGAAAAAAATATGTAACCCCGATACGATTTCATCGATCGATAGCAAGAAACGTTAGCAATTTTGAAAGTTCAAAGCGAGTGGTTAAAGCTGTTCTAATCTTGTCTTACAAGCCTCAGCATCGAACGCAAATTTATGAAAACGATCTGTTGGCAAAGAACACGGAATACGAAAGTTTCTTTGATATAATCTTAATCGTGGCAAGAATTCTTGTGATAGGTTCTATTCTTACTGGATTGACTGTCGTATATTTGATCACACGTTTTACACATGGACACGTGTTTCCGATAATCCTTCGGAAAGGTAATTATTCGTTGGTCAAAGGAAAACATATATCGTTCGCAGGTTACAATTGCAGGTATCGAATTTCTCGGGCCAATTTTTATAAAATTCGGTCAATGGGCGTCGACAAGAAAAGATTTGTTTCCTGAAGATGTTTGTCGTACGCTGTCATTATTGCAACATAACGCTTCCGCACATTCTTGGATTTATACAAAGCAATTGCTTAAAGCCATATACGGCTCGAATTGGAGGAATATATTCGTAAAATTCGAACACGAGATGCCTATCGGATCAGGGTGTTGTGCTCAGGTATAAAAATGAAATTGGATCGATCAAGTTTGATCGATAGATCGTATTTTGTCCGTTCATTCGATTTGATGAATCTGTCCGACCGGCAGGTGTACAAGGCATGGGTAGATCTGAATGCTCGAGTGGACGTAACGCGAAAACCTGAAATACCTGCATTTATTCAAAGTAAGCCATTTAAGCACGATCTTTTCTTTCATCTTATCTAACACATCGCTACACACGCCTCTGATCAAACTTCAACGAAACTTTCCAGTCATACGAAAAATAAAAGCTCTAATGCTTCCGTAGTTCTTAATGCGTATATATATAAATGTATAATATGTCGTGAATCTTGTTGCAGTTATCGAATATTTAAAATTTGGCTCGTTAATCAGTTTCATTGGTAAATATACGAAAAAAATTAGTTTTACTATATGGAATTGTAAACGTTTCACGTGACATAAAATAATTTCAGAGAAAACGTTGAATATTGATGAAACAGATGAGAACGTTAATGCATATGTAAGTCGGAAGCTACAACCGGTAGCGGTTAAGATTTTACATCCTGGAATTAAAGGACAACTAAGGTATGAGATATACCATGGTCTAATGGAAAATAATAACCAATCTTGCCGAATCTCTGGATCGTTTTTCTTTGTCGTTTAATTTAGAAGAGATCTTTGCATAATGAGAGGGATTTGCAAATGCGCGACATATATCGTGCCTCAATTGCAATGGCTCAGTCTTAACGATTGCATCGATGAATTTTCACAAATAATGGAAAATCAAGCAAGCTTCACGTTCAAGTTTAATTGCTTAGATCTTATAGAGCTATTTAAAATATTTGTCCTTATATGCTAACTGTTTTGTAAAGGTTGACATGAATTTGGAAGCACAGAATTTGATTCAGTTTTCGAAAAATTTTTCGAGGAAAAAGGATGTCATATTCCCCCGGCCCTACACAGATTTTACACAACGCGAAGTTCTCGTGGAAAGTTTTCACGAAGGTTTTCCAATTTCCGAGTATCTCGAAGATCACGATACAACATTGCAAGGAAAGCTGGCTAAGATAGGGATTAAAACGATTTTAAAAATGGTATAGCGCGGTCTGTCAACATGATCGATATCGCGTCGAGTAATTCTCATAGACTTCTTGATTAATTACAACGAAAGTTATCGGGAAAATGACAGGTGTTTAAAGACAACTTCATTCACTGTGACTTGCATCCTGGTAATATCTTGGTACAGACAAATCGCGAACCTATTGGAAAAATTAGCGCCTGGTTTTGGAAATTTATCGATCGCAAGTACTTACCGACTTATCCACGCTTGGTCATACTCGATTGTGGTTTGGTAGTGTCTCTGAACGATCGCTGTCGACAAAATCTTAAGAATGTCTTCCGATCGGTGCTCATGGGAAACGTACCTACATATATTTCTTACTTTTGCCCTCTTTTTATACCTTTACCTTTCTTCCATTCACCTGTTCATTTATTTATTTCAGGGTGAATTGGCAGCGGAATACATTCTGGAACATAGTTCGCGCGTATCCCCCGACCCAGACGGTTTTAAGAATACAATGAAAGATATCGTAAACTCGCATCTTCGAAGTAGAATCAATGTAATCTTAAAACATTTTCAAAGACACGAGTGTACAATGCGAGAAACAATGGTCGAAATCGATGAAAACCCTTTCAGAGGAACGTTTCAAAATGTTACAGGTAGACGTGAGTACCGTTGTGACTGAATTGTTTTCCGCGATGGTTCGGCATCGTGTGAAGCAAGACGGAACCTTCAGCAGCGTGATTCTCAGTATGGTAGTGATCGAAGGCCTCGGTCGCAGTCTGGATCCAAATATCGATATCTTCACAGAGGTTGTGCCGTTCATTTTTACAAGTACAGCGTCGTACGACGATTAAATTGTGAAATATCGTTTCAAGTACTAAAACACGTCGGGAAATTTAGGAAACGAAAGAAACGTTTCGTCTGTTGTCAAGACGATCAAACGAGGCTCTGGAATCCTAATGCCGAAAGAACTTGTTACTTTGCAATTGTAAAACGCGTTCGTGCGTTCGCATTGTTCGGTTTTTGAAAAATTATATAACATAAAGGAGAGGATTGTACGTTATACGTACGTTATATATATAACACGAAGGATTGGAAGAGTAAAGCTACCAAGGAAGAATTTGGAAGGAATTTGCCTTATCGAATACACGCGCGACGATCTTCGTCACTGAATAAAGTCCCGCACGAGAAAATTCCCGTTTTAATAACATGTCATTATACGAATCCCAAGAAGAATTCCAATTTTAAAGCAGACTACACAGAAATTGCGTGTAATCGCAACGGACAGAATTCCGGCGAGTGACCAGTTGCTCGTGATCACTTCCTGGTTGGTCGACTACCTTTCGTACAACGATATACCACCCGTATGTGTGTACATGCGTACGTACACGCATATATATATATGGGTAAGTGTTCCGTACATGTTCCTCTCTTCGGATTGCTTTTTTTATACCTTTCGTACGTATCTCATATTTGCGAAAAAATTCGACTTTTGTCTGATCATTGGAAATCTTTGCAACAACATCGATTGTAAATATCGTAAATCGCTTGTCTAATTGTATCTCTGTTTGTATAAAAACCTGTAAACTATAAAATTTTTGTT